TATTTGAATGTTATTATGTAATTGTAGTATATTCTGACCTGTGTTCCTCTAGAGATCTATCACTGCTGTATGAAAAAAGCTTCTAGTTTGTATCTTCTGTATCATTAAAATGTATACCTTGATTATTTCGCAAACTGTTAAAACAAGATATTTTTACAGGGCCACTGCATTGGCCTCCACAGTTGTAACTGGTGAAGTAGTTATCAACTCTGAAGTAGCTATTAAATTATTGAAGCAAGACAATAGCCAAAATGAGCAGCAAACTCTGAGTTTCATTAGATGAGGCAACTATTGATTCATGAACAACAGAGATTTTCTCTAATAAAAGGCATCTGGTGGCCCATGGAAAATACTTTTAGTCTCAGCAATGAGTTCAGTCGCTGTCACAATATTTTATGACACTTTGGGCTTAATTTTAACTGCTCTATTAGCCTGTTGTGCAGTATGTACAAATCCACATCTAGTTAATGCCATCAATTTATTTATTGGCCTCAGTTTTCTTTCTTCTGTTTTTCTCTGTTATTTTGGGATGCTACCACTCACGAGTCAGCCAAACTAGAAAACTGGGGGTTGTACTTACTCTTCAGTGCACACTCCAAATGTGTATCCTCCATGCCTGGCTTAGTTCAGGCCCCATCTCCTCTTCCCTGGACCCTTCAGCAGTTACCTCCTGGGGCCCGGACTCCTCGCTTTTCTGAAGCCCATTCTCCACACAGTCAGGTGGCTTCTATTTAAATCCAATACCAACCAGTCTCTGCCCATTTAAAATCTTTCAGAGGGCCAGGTGCGGTGGCTCACGCCTGTAATTCCGGCATTTGGGGAGCCTGAGTCAAGAGGAGTGCTTGAGCCCAGAGTTCCAGACCAGTCTGGGCAACATAGTGAGACCCTCTTTCATGGAGTCCCAGCTCTTCTGGAGGCTGAGGTGGGAGGATGATCTGAGCCCAGGTCAAGGTTGTAGTGAGCTGTGATTGAGCCCCTGTGACTCAGTGAGACTCTGCCCCAAATAAATAAATAAATACCCTTAAGGGTCCTCATTGCCTACAGAGTAAAACTCTAGCCTTACCTCCCAGCTTACCCTGTTAGTCATGACTCTCCAGCAATGCGGAACTTGTATTTTTGCTGTGCACAGTGCTGCTGGCTGCTTCTCCCCTCCAGCCTTTGCTGAAGCTGTACCCTTTGCCCCAAGTGCCCTCACCACCCACCCCAACCTCCAGCTCCCTGTCCCTTGTCTGGATCCTAGCCATTCTCCACAACACAGTTCAAAACTCGCTTCCTCAAGGAAACCCTGCCTCACCACATCGTCAGCCCTCAGCTTCTGTCTGAGCTCCAGGCAAGTGATCCTCCTCTCTGTTCCCCTGACTCGAGAAATCAGGTATTTACTAAACGAATTACTACAATTATTACCCTTACTGCATTGTATTGACATTCTCTGTTTACGTGTCTCTTTAGAATGTTAGCTCCTGTGTCTCTTTAGAATGTTAGCTCATTTTTTAAAAATGTAGGATGGAACAAAGTCAACAACTTGATAGAAAAAGAGATAAAGACTAGACAATTCATAGTGTATAATGCACAGGTCCCTGACTCATGTGAAAACATGTTCAATCACACTAACAAAAACAGAGGTGTAAATTACTGTTACCATTTCTTACCTGTCATATTGAAAAAAATTAGAAAGTTTTATGACGCAGTCCGTGGGTGAGGCTGTGTAAAAATCGGCATTCTCAGGTATTGTGGGTGAGAATACAAAATGGTGTAACCATGATGGTGGCAGGGTTAGCAACACTGAGCAAAAGTACATGTGTCTTTTTTTTTTTTTGACCGAGCGATATCACTTCTAGGAATCTATCCCAAAGATGTCTGCAAAAAATCTGAGAAGATGTGTGCAGAAAACGACACTTGGTAGCAATTTTTTGTAATAGCAAAAAAATTGGAAACTGCCCAAATGACCACTAATAGTGGACTGGTTGAATAAACTGGTAAATGCATTTTGAAGCTGTACTAAAGAAGTGAGGGGGGAGAAATATCTTTGTAATGCTATGGAGTGATCTCCAGATGTATTGTTACGAGAAAAAAGCAAGGTAAAAGACACTATGTTCAGTATGTTACCATTTATTTAGGAAAGGTAAAGATATTTTATATATATATATATATATATATATATATAATTCCTCCATATATATGTTTGTTTTTGAGACAAGGTCTCACTCTGTCACCCAGGCTGCAGTGCAGCTCCCTGTAGTCTCAAATTCCTGGGTTCTCAAGTGATCCTCCCACCTAAGCCTCCCCAGTAGCGGGACCATAGGCACAGACCACTGTGTCCAGCTAATTTTTGTAGGGACGGGGTCTTGCATGTTGCCCAGGCTAATTTCAGACTCCTGGGCTCAAGCAGTTCACCCATCTTGAACTCCCAAAGTGCTGGGATTACAGGTGTAAGCCACTGTGCCATGCCTTGTAGTTCTATTTTTAAAAATGTTTCCTGCAAGAGAAAAAGGAGGGAACAGGAAGAGGGAACAAGGGTAGAAGGTAGACTTCTCTGACTATCTTTCTATCCCTTAAGGATTTTACTTTGAAACTATGTAAATATGTTACTTGAGAAATAAAATTTTAAATTTCTAAAATGTGAAACGGCACAAAACAAATGAACCTAAATATATCTCGAATTAGTAGAATAATTTTGTGAAGAAGAACTATCTGGTTCTTCTCTCGTATTTTCCCTTCCCTCCAGCCTTTGCCATCAGAATGTTTGACCCTAAGCCTGCAACAGATTAAAGTTTCTAACAGTCTCCAAGGCGAAGCAGAAGCCCACATTTCCCATGAAGGGTTAATGGGACGTCTTCCAACAAAAACCGAGATCTCCTTTCTTTTTTCTTCTTCCTTTTTGAGACAAAGTCTTGCTCTGTCACCCAGGCTGGAGTGCAATGGCGCCATCTCAGCTCACTACAAACTCTTCCTCCTGTGTTCAAGTGATTCTCCTGCCTCAGCCTCCTGAGTAGCTGGGATTACAGGTGCACACCACCACACCCAGCTAATTTTTGTATTTTAGTAGAGACGGGGTTTCACCATGTTGGCCAGACTGATCTCGAACTCCTGACTTCATGATCTGCCCACCTCGGCCTCCCAAAGTGCTGGGATTACATGCGTGAGCCACTGTGCCTAGCCGATCTCATTTGTTTTCTGCCTCGTTTACCAAATAATTATTTTCTTCATTTAGGTTCCTTCTTCCTTTCTCTTCTCAGCATCTTTAAAAACACAAGTGACATGTGCAGGCTTCTCTCTTCTAGGAATATCCAAAGTTGGGTACCTTGGAAAATGGTAGTTCCAAATACACAAATAGGAACTTTTCAAAGAAAGATACTTTCAGCTAGAGATAGAGAGCCCTTGACTATAGGAACCAGAATTAATTAACCATAGAAAAAGTAGGAAAGCTTCTGAAACTGTAGTGGGCCAGCAGGGAGGTAAAAAGAGTGCAATGCAGGTCAGGACCAAAGAAAATGACAGCAAAGATCAGTAACACAACAGTGAATGATGATTCTAGCTGCCCACACTGGGGAAATATATTCAGTTTCTGGCTAGAAGGGTTGAGTGATTAAAATGAGAAGCACTCTTGTATAATACATTTGTGCATATGTGTTTACGCTGTCTAGTTATCTCAGGTCAGGTTCTCTTGAAGTTGGGGGCAAGGTGGTAATTTGGGTTCAATACCTGTGAAAGGAAAGGAGAGGAAGCAGGATTGAACAGAGGAAGAAGAAGAACTATGATAAGGGCTCAACACAGCTTTTACCAACCTGATGACAAATGACTGGTCTTTATACTAATCACCTGACAGGCTGTCCTGGAAAAGGCTTGACCTCAGGCGGAGGAGGCAGCTCTCTGCAGCTAAAGCAGACACTGAAAGTGCTGACAGCTGGACGCTGTCTGCTGACAGTCCTTCCTCAAGCTGGGCTACAAGCCCTTCTTTGAAAGGGAACCTACCTGGGTAGCACATCTCTTTGCCTACCATAAGCCTACTGTAACCCTTTCCAGAGTTAATATAGTGTTTTGCTTTTAATTATCAATATATAAAAGGTATTACATTTACAGTAGAGAACTCCATATATTTAGTGTTGAATACAAATTTACTATTAGAATTTATCTTCAACAGATTATCAGATGGTCAATATATTTCTGTGCAAGCTAGGATTACTGTTCATTCATTTATTCATCCCACAAACATCTATTAACTATTTATTGCATACCAGTCTCTGGAAATTGAAATATAAATAAGTATGCTTTCATTATAAACTCCTAGAAGTCAGAGTCTAGTGGGGAGGTCGATAAAATAGACAAATAATTAATGTGATGAGTTAAAAAGATAGGTCTAAACACAGTGCTATAGAGGTTAAAGGGACATGAAGAAGAAAGTACTTAGCTGTGCCTGCAAACATACTCCTAGAAGAGCAGATGTGAGATGGGCTGTCAGAGAATAAGAAATATTTGCATAGCAACATTACAGGAAGAGCAAATTGTATGTGTAAAGGCTCAGAACAATGAAAAAGCATTACACAGATTGAGAACCGCAAATAAATTGACATGACCCAAGGACAAGCAGTGTTTAAGGAGGGATTGAAATATGAAACTGAAAATATATCTATACCCAATTATCTCATTCATTTATGTTATTTTTTTAACTGTATTTTATCTTACCAGTGTTTGTCAAATATATTTAACCATGGTTTGTGGGGGCTTTTTGTTTGTTTTTTGCTACAACACATTTCTGCAAGACATTCTTTGTGAAATGTTGGAAGACAGTGTTGATTGAGCCTGCCAGGTTATCTCAGACATAAGCACATACTGGATCTAGTACCTGAACAAGTGTGTTCTAACTTGATATTGACAAATAAGGAAAAGTTACTACTGGATGCAAGTTCTGGGAAGGCTATAGCAGTATCTCTATGCCCTTGGAGATTGGAACGCAGAACTCTGCTAAGAGGAACATCCTATCTCCCTGTCACAAAGAGTCCTTAGCAACCACCTGGTTCAGGTCACAGGCAGGGAGAGGAAGGACTGCAGAGTGTTTTGTTCTTTCTATGCAGCTTAACTGATTTGAAGAAGCTGAAGAAGAAAGTCAAGTAGCACAGTTAAGACTTCAGCCATGGCATCTGTATTGTACCAAAAGCCAATATCTACTACTGTGGGAAAACAAATGATTTTTACAGGTAAATAGTTTTTGTGTATGCTTTCACAAGGAGATCTAAACTTACTTTTTCTCTCACATATATGATTATATATAATGGACATAACAATGAAATGATCACTTTTTTTAAAAAAATCTGTTTGTTTTTTTGTTTTGAGACGGAGTCTCACTCTGTTGCCCAGGTTGAAGTGCAATGGTATGATCTCAGCTCGCTGCAACATCCTCCTCCCGTGTACAAGAGATTCTCCAGTCTCAGCCTCCCTAGTAGCTGGGATTATAGTCACCCACCATCATGCCCAGCTAATTTTTGCATTTTTGTAGAGATGGGGGTTTCAATATGTTGGCTAGGCTGGTCTTGAACTCCTGACCTCAGGTAATCTGCCCACTTTGGCCTCCGAAAGTGCTGGGATTACAGGCGTGAGCCATGTACCTGGCCCACCTATGTTTAATTTACATGATACTGCTATCTCATTATGCCCTCTCAGTCTGATCATCGGTATCTTGTCGCCGTAAGCATGTCTTTAACACACCAGTTGTCACTGTATTTGAGGTAACTTTCACAAAGGAGTATTTTTATTAGCATAGCTTTTATGGTTTGTGCAAGAGAAACTTCTTCAATATAATAAAAAACATACTTTTCATCAAATTTTTATTACTGATTTAAATTTCTCAACATTATAAATGACATATTTGATTGATAAAAATTTGAGCAAAATATGCATTAAACCTAGTTAAGTTATTAGTTTGTGTTTTGTTCCTTCAACTTTAAATATTTTGGACAGTGTGTGCCAAATTATAATAAAATCTAAAAATAGAATATGACTACTTGTGATAAGTCTATAAGACATAAACTAAACTTGATCTTATTTTCTTTTTTTCCAATTTATTAATTTATTGAGACAGAGTCTTGCTTGTTGCCCAGGCTGGGGTGCAGTGGCATGATCTTGGCTCTTTGCACCCTCCACCTTCCAGGTTCAAGTGATTTTCCTGCCTTAGCCTCCTGAGTAGCTCAGACTATAGGCAGGTGTCACCATGCCTGGTTATTTATTTATTTATTTATTTGTATGTTTAGTAGAGATGGCATTTCTCCATGTTGACCAGGCTGATCTCAAACTCCTGACCTCAAGTGATCTACCTACCTTGACCTCCCAAAGTGTTGGGATTGCAGGGGTGAGCCACCGTGCCTGGCCTTTTTTCCCCCCCAGATTGTGAGCATATTTTACAATGTTACAGAAAAATAATCAAATGCATTATTTATGGTGGGCATTTATGATTTGTGTTGCTCATCATCCATCTCATTCACTCCCTTTCTTGTGACTCACCCATCTTTGGGAAAACCATCTCTTTCCTCACTCTTACCCCTTTTTTACTCCTGTGACAAGAACTTTGTCAACTAGAATGCACTGCTTATCTGCGATTCTTTTGCCTTTATTCTTACAAACTCCATTCATTTCCAAAGTTAATTAGGCCCACACATTTTCTCTCTAGCCTCTTCGGTAAGGTGGTTTTATGCACTTGTAATATAGTTAGATTTCTTGTCACAGTCTGAATTCCTTCCTGAAATCCCATGATCTCCTAAATAATTTTTTTTAAAATTTGCATTCATTAAGGTTTGCTCTTTATGCTATAAAGCATATGGGGGTCTTGACAAATTCATAAGACCATGCATTCACCATTAGAGTACCATACAGAATAGTTTCAACACTTGAAAAATCCCCTGGGCTTCACCTGTTCATTCTCCCCTTCTCTCTTTCTCCCTAGCTTCTGGCAACCACTGATCTTTTCACTGTCCTACAGTTTTGCCTTTTCCTGAATGTCATAAAGCTGGAGTTATACAGTATGTAGTCTTTTCAGATTGGCTTCTTTGCCTTATCAATATCAATAAAGGTTTCTCCATATTATTTCATGATTTGATAGCTTATTTCTTTCTTTTTTTTCTTTCTTTCTTTTTTTTTTTGAGATGGATTTTCGCTCTTGTTACCCAGGCTGGAGTACAATGGCGTGATCTCGGCTCACTGCAACCTCCGCCTCCTGGGTTCAGGCAATTCTCCTGCCTCAGCCTCCAAAGTAGCTGGGATTACAGGCATGCACCGCCATGCCCAGCTAATTTTTTGTATTTTTAGTAGAGACGGGGTTTCACCATGTTGACCAGGATGGTCTTGATCTCTTGACCTCGTGATCCACCTGCCTCGGCCTCCCAAAGTGCTGGGATTACAGGCGTGAGTCACTGCACTCGGCCTGATAGCTTATTTCTTTATATCACTGAATAATATTTCAAAGTGTAGATGTGTCACATTTTTTTCATTCATTCACCTATTGAAAGACATCTTGGTGGCTTCCAATTTTTGGCCATTGTGAGAAATGCTTCTATATACATTTAAGTGCAGGCTTTTGCATGGATATGTTTTCAAATGTATTTGAGAAATGCCTAGGACAGTAATTGCTGGATCCTATGTTAAGCCAATCTGTCTTCTAAACTAGCTATACTATTTAATAAAAATTTCCATCAGTGATGAATCAGAGTCTCTGTTGCTTCGTGTTGTTGTCAGCCTTTGGTATTGTCTGTTTGTTTACTTTTTGCAATTCTATGTAGTTGTATCATAGTTTGTTTTAGTTCATAATTTCCTAATCACCAAAGATGTTAAGTATCTTTTCATATACTTACTTGCCATCTGTATATATTTGTTAGTGAAGTATCTGTTTATATTTGCCTATTTTATAATTTTTTTTTCTTACTGTTGAGTTTTAAGAGAGAGTGTGTGTGTATTTTAGAGACAAGATCTCACTATGTTGCCCAGGCTGGTATCAAATTCCTGAGCTCAAGCAATCCTCTCACCTCAGCCTTCCAAATTGCTGGGATTACAGGCATGAACCACTGCACCCAGCCCAAGTTTTGTATATATTTTGGATACAAATGTTTTATAAGTGTTTCATGAAAAAATTTTCTTACAGTCTATCACTTGTCTTTTTATTCTTTTAACAAAGTCTTTCACAGAGAAGAAACTTTTAGTTTTAATAAAATACAACTAAACATGTTTTTTCTTTTATGGTTTTTACTTTTGATACTACATTTTAGAACTGATCACCAAAAAACAAGGTCACTTAGATTTTTATCCTGTGTTTTCTTTTAGACATTTTACAACGTTATGTTTTCATTTAGGTCTATAATCCATTCTGGAGAGATTTTTGTGCCTTTTAAACTTTTAATTTTAATCAGCCAATAAATTTCCTCTTTTCCTTAGCCAGTTTGGGTTGGGTTTTCTGTCATTTGGGACTGTGCAAGAGTCTTAATACTTAAAATTTCTTATAACTGATGCCAGTGTATCTGCTTAGTTTTATGTATTTACATAGTTCAAATTCTTGTCACCTTTGATGGATATCTGTCTGTCATTATATTGACATATAATACTTAGCTTCATAGCCTCCTGTATTTTATAATTTCTCAATCTTCACTGTTACAAATTTATGTGAATACTTTGCATAAATTATTTTTCTTGTTCTCTTATCTTGTGGTATATTTGTAGAGAACAGAATTAGCAGGTGAAAGATACAAGCAGATGTATAACTTATTAATGCCACAAGTTTTAGAGGATTGTGTATACTATGAACAATGTATATGTATTTAAAGCCCATCAAATTATTTTTTTTTCAGACAGTCTCCCTCTGTTGCCCAGGCTGGAGTGAAGTGGCATGATCTCAGCTCACTGCAATCTCTCCTGGTAGGGTTCAAGTGAGTCTCATGCCTCAGCCTCCCGAGTAGCTGGAATTACAGGGGCACATCTCCATGCCCAGCTAATTTTTCACATTTTTAGTAGAGTTGGGATTTCACCATGTTGGCCAGGCTGATCTTGAACTCCTGACCTCAAGTGATCCATCTGCCTCGGCCTCCCAAAGTGCTGGGATTACAGGCATGAGCCACCGCAACCTACCTTGCCAATATTTTTAAAAATCATTTTTATTTACTTTTAATAAGGATATGTCAATCCGTTTTTGCCTTTGCCTTTTACAAACTTTATTGTGACTATTTTAAAACGCACACCAATGAACTCCTACTTAGATGTCACCCATATTCAACATTTATCAAAATTTTGCCACATTTGACTCACATCTCTCTTGTCTTTTTCTTGTGCAAAATATCTTAAGCCCAGATGTCATATTATTTCATTTATATATCTTATTTTTTGAGATGTGCATCTCAAAAAAAAAAAAAGAACATATTCTTACATAGCCACATTGCCCTGATTGCACCTAACAGAATTAATAACCATCCTTTGGCATCATGTAATTAACAACTCCATAATAAAGTTTTCCTGGCTGGGCTTGGTGGCTCATGCCTGTAATCCCAGCACTTTGGGAGGGCGAGGAAGGTGGATCACAAGGTCAAGAGATAGAGACCATACTGGCTGGCCAACATGCTAAAACCCCGTCTTTACTAAAAATACAAAACAGGAGAATTGCTTGAACCCAGAAGGCAGAGGTTGTAGTGAGCTGAGATTGTGCCACTGCACTCCAGCCTGGTGACAGAGTGAGACACTGTCTCAAAATAATAATAATAAAATAAATAAATACAATTTTCCTGATTGTCTCTATAATGTATTTTTACAGTTGGTTTTGAGAATAAGGATCCAACATACATTGCATTCAGCTATGTTTTCTCTTTTTGTCTCTTTTAAACTGGGCCAGTCTTCCCTTCTTTTTTTTCCCTGCCATTTATTTGTTGCAGAAACTGGATCAATTATACAGCAGAAATGTCCAACATTCTGAATTTGTCAATTGCTTCCTTCTCACATCATTTAGCTTTTCTTTTATTCTCTCTAAACTGGATTTGGCTCTAGAGACTTGATTATAAGCAAGTTGAACTCTCTAGGGATATTTGTGTCTTAGATGGTACTCCAGTCAATTCACAGAAATCAAACTTCTAAGCTGTTCAAGATTAGTAATTTTAACTCCTGTAAGGCCCATCACTTACTACCTTTCAAACCTATTAAGGCTTAGAGCTCTTTCTTTTTTTTTTTTTGAGAC